TAATAATAATAATAATAATAATAATAATAATATTAATAATAATAATAATAATAATAATAATAATATTAATAATAATAATAATAATAATAATAATAATATTAATAATAATAATAATAATAATAATAATAATATTAATAATAATAATAATAATAATAATAATAATATTAATAATAATAATAATAATAATAATAATAATAATAATAATAATAATAATAATAATAATAATAATATTAATAATAATAATAATAATAATAATAATAATAATAATAATAATAATAATAATAATAATAATAATAATAATAATAATAATAATAATAATAATAATAATAGGTCTACTGTTGCTTATGCAGAAAGACTTGATATTTTGCAAGCGCTGACCGGCCATTGCGGTTGCTGTTGTAGTGATAAGATAAGCCTCCTACCCTTAACATTTCTTGTTGTCATTCTGTTATTTGTTGTCATCTCTCTTCTGTCAATGCAAAATGCATAGGCTATCGGATGAATGCCTGAGTATTTCTTTATTTGTATCCTCTTGTCGATTTATTCCAGTCCACGATTAAGAACTACCATCAATCAGATTTCTATGTTCTCCTCTTAGAAACTTCTATTAAATGGTGACGCATTTATGCTTTTCAACTACTCTAGTTAGACCTGTTCCAGGTGGCTCCATAGATATGGACTTTCTTCAAAAGGGATGGTTTACTGAGTTCTCACCGGACGATTTGGAACGGATGAAACAAGGAGGTTAGCTTTTGCAATCAGGCAGTCATGTGATATGTTCGCTAGTGGTCTTGATAAGTTCCAATAATTCCAAATTTTTCTGAAAATATTTTGGTGGCTCTGAACTACGCTCGATGTGGTCCTAAACTGACATCACTTTGGCTACACCCTGACATCCTTCATGAGGGTGGTAGATGTATGAAATGGAATGAAATGAAATTCTGAAATTTAAGATGCAAGAGACAGATTAGGAAATGCGACTTCTCTGATTGTGAGAGTTGGGCCCTGGTAACCCAAGAATTAGTTTAGCTTTCGGGATAAAAAAATCCTGCTGTTGTAATGTGCATATTTCGGTCGGCAACGATCCAGAAATGTTCTAAGAGACCCGTTCCGTAACATGGAAAAGAGTTTAAGTACCTTCTTCCAGAAGCCACCGATTCGAAGCAGTTAAAGTCTGATGGAGTGGTGATGGGTGGAGCATGGCCAGGTCAGGCGTTCTCCCTTAAAGTGAAGGAAGTCTTGTTTCATGAAAAGAGCGAATATCAGGATGTTCTAGTGTTCAAGAGGTGATAATTCCGGAGAATACTGTTTCTAACAACTTCATACACCAAAGCTGCATTAATTGGGTGCATGGTCATTTCTAAAATGTATCCAAAGTAGAGCGAGATCGCTTTTGTCTGGGAAAACTCAAAATGGTATTAACTTTTAGTGAGTCTTATGGTAACGTGCTGGTTCTAGACGGAATTATACAAGCTACTGAGCGAGATGAGTTTTCATATCAAGAAATGCTTGCTCATCTGCCGATGTTTGCTCATCCAAACCCTAAAAAGGTGGTGTATCCTATGATTTGCAGTTGAAATTTCCGATTCTAGTCTCAGCTAAGCAAACGTTTCAGGTTTTGATTATCGGAGGAGGTGACGGTGGCATTTTGAGAGAGGTTCTGAAGCATCCCGAGGTTGAGCATGTCACCATGTGTGAAATAGATCGTGTTGTGATTGAAGCATCGAAACGGTATGCTACACTTATGATTTGCTGTATACTATGAAAAACCTGGCCAGGTAGATATTTTCCGGTTAAAAGATCGTGGGTTCGTAGATATTCGCGGTATGTTGAATGATGGGTAGAAGAGTAATGTCTTTTCGACATTGGTCAGTCCCTTAACTGGGATGCACCTCGTCTTCGACCTCTATGCAGAATCGTAGAGGTTCTGAACTTGCGTATGTATGCTCTAAGCAACGATCGGGGCTTTAATCTTGTTCTCAATAAATCCAATGAACTATCACACAGAGCATTCATAAATAATGTCTTTCTTTTCAACAGCTTGTGTTTCAGATTCTTGCCTGGAATGTCCTGCTCTTTCTCAGATCCAAAGCTGAACCTATTCTGCGGCGATGGCTTCGAATTCCTCAAAAAACACAAGGTTCCCACTTTTCTTCCTTGGACCTTTCGTTTCGAAGGTATGGAACAAAAATCACCGAAGTCGCGTGCGTAAATTTTGGATATTGAGCGCACGGCCGTGGTGGAGCTGCCCATAGTAAATAAACGGCTTCTGAAACCTTCCGAAAGCTTGCTTTTATATTCACAGTATTCACCCACTTTGCAAATGTATTCTAAGTGCATTATTTTACTCTTAAATCACCTGCCGATGCAGTTTCATCCTGGAAAGTGCAAATAATTTTAGAATGAGTTTGATGTGATCATCACTGACTCTTCTGATCCTGTTGGACCAGCGGAAACCCTATTTGGAAAGTCATATTATGAATTGTTACGGGATTCTCTGAGAGAAAACGGTGTGCTGTCTTCTCAAGGTAGGCGATTCTCTGATTGTAGACGTAGGAGAAAATGGATGTCGGGTGATTCCTTTTTTAAAAATTTTAATCGTGCTAATTAAGGTGAGTGTCCATGGTTGGACCTTGCCCTGATTGCTAAAGTCATCCGTGAGTACTGTTCACCGATATTTCCCGTTGTACGGTATGCGGTTAGCTCAGTACCTACGTATACCAGCGGCTTCATAGGCTACATCATCTGCAGTAAAGCGAAGGTTCTGCTGTGCTTTTAGTCAGATTGATAGGCTTCTTCCTTCTTTCGCTGTTGCAGTTCTTCTCTTTCTTTCACTCTTTAGCAAGCGTGTGTATGTCGTAGTGGTTTGGTTCCGTCGGTAGAGAATGCTCAGTGGCTAGCGTTGGCCCAACGGACGGGGTAGCGGACCACTTTATGATTATTCACTTGCCTTCGCGAGGTAGTAAGCATACCAATAAAGACGTTGGTAGTAGACTTGTGTGGTGCATGCACTGTGCAAGGGGGAGCCAGTTATGTGGTCCATTTCCTGTTATGGTGCTCATAGAAAAAACACCTGGTAAGTGTTATTGTGCTGCGGTCATACTAGGCGAACATCTTTTACAGTTTGCTGAGCGTCAGAACAATATTGAATTGTGCATGACATGAAAATGCCAATAATCATCAGAAACCGAAAATAAACTCGGAAATGACTTTTTAACTCATATAGCTGTCGCATGGGAGCATGGAAAGGAAAGTTCCAGTTATTCCGAGGGCCATGTTGCTAAGCAGCAAAAGTTCGAGCAGCGGAATCTGATTTGTCTAGTGGGTGTGGTAGAGAAGCGTCGAGAAGACATAGGGGATGTTCGTGAAGCGCATCGATGTTCACCAGGTGTGACCGTAGCCTCAATGTATTGAGCCAAGTATAATTGTGACTGAATAAATGCGGAAACTGTTCCGCCTGTGGTCCATTCGGAAAGCGCTATCCACTTGAAAGTGCTTGGTTGTTGTTGTAGGTGAAAGTGCTTGGCTACATCTCGGTTTAATCGCTCACATGATGCGCTTTACTCGTGAATTATTTGCTAACGTACAGTATGCTCAGTCAGCTGTCTCAACGTATCCATCTGGCACGATGGGATATCTGATCTGCTCGAAATCGGTGTGTTGCCAAGTATTGCATGGTTTTGTTTTCATCTTCTTCCGCATGCTTTTAGTTTTCTTCGAGCAACATCTCTTCAAGTCCGTTACTGGCAAAGCAACCGCATTATCTAAATAATTAACTGAAAGTAACTCCAGTCACCTGGACTCTTGGCTTGAAGATTACTTTCGATCAATTTAATCGATTACCATCATTTCCCACTACTTCAAATAATAGTTTTGACAATGCCGGCCACCACATGTAATCAAAAATGAATATTGATTTTGCGCGCTCATAGTCGCTTCCTATTTTTCCAGTGTTAGCGCTCGAGGGGAGGTGCAGATGTGATTTTACGCCGAAAGTAGCCTGTTTAGCGCAGTTTCACTTTAACCGATTGTATAATGTCAAATACCCGTCTGATGCTCAAAGTCAAGTGTAAAAACGAAGCGGTTTAAGTTTCAAATTATGAGAGGACTTGTTTGCTCTTTTCTCCATCGATAAAACAGTGAACACACTTCTCTCCCTCAACTTCCCTTATTTTCCGCACAGTTGCCTTCAAAAAAATTTTTTTCAAAGCCTGATCGTTCCTCTATACCCACAGAACCAGCGGTGTCCAACTGCTCTCAAATAGATGATGCGTTTGCTTATGCCTCATACTTGGGCTTGGATCTTTTACCGATCAGCTGGCTCAAAAAATTGATTTTTGATTTGATTCAAGGATCTTGACGTCACAAAACCATCGAGATTACTGTCGGAGGATGACATCGTGAGGATGAACTTGAAGTACTATAACTCCCAGGTGCACTCTGCCGCTTTCGTCTTGCCTCAATTCGTTAAAAAAGTAAGTGAGGATGGTTCGTTGAAGCTACTGCTAATAGCCTTTCAAATATTATTCCAGGCTCTCGAGAAGAAGTGATTGATCCACTTGTTTACTGGTCACTATTTTTGTGCATAGGTTGTTATTGTTGTTTAGCTAATAAATATGTTCATATGATCGCCTTTAATGTGCCACGCTGAGATCGTTCTTGAAGTATACTCAATGACAGGTAGCGTTCCAAATATCTGGATATTGCGCGTACGCGGTTGCAACGCATGGCGCAGCCGCGATCGATTGTTTCGCGCGTCAAGACGTGATAAACCGAAGTATGGAATGATTTCTTACGGAGAATTTCATTTCTATCGTTTGTTTCTCGGGGGGTGGTTCACTATTCGAATTAAAATGAATCTTTCAATGACCTGGAACTTTTCGTATGAGAATATTTCAACAACTTCTGAAGGTACTGCTACAATTTTCAATAATTGGTGGAATTGAGCTAAATTATTACAGATGAGAACATTTCAACAACTTTTAAAGCAGGTGCAATTAATACTATGATGACTGGTAACTTGTTTAAGCTTTATAAATTCTCTCAGATTCATCAACGACCATTTGGGATGGAACTGATGTTATTCCAAGTATGACCAGGTACCTGCTTCTGTATCTTCTTCCCATCGTAGTCTACTCGTTGACTTAATTTCTAGAACAGCCCTTATTTCCGCAGCAACGGAAAGGCAAGCTTTGGTATGTTCACATTATGTACTGATCCGTCGCTATGTATAGTGGGATACAGTTCAAAACCTTCTGTATTACTAAAAAAAACTGAATTGATGACTGCTCTTTAACAAAACCTTGAAAACTTATGATTCATAGGTGATTCGCGGCTCGTGCGGCCTCGTACCATTCTCCTGAAAAGAAAATTTCAGGATGAAAGCACGATTCACTTGAAGGAAACGGCTCTTTTCGTTGTTATAGGATTACTGATCTTATCGTTTATTCTGATGATGAGTGTATGCATCGGTCTTCTAATGTTTCGACTTAGGAGTGGCGAGAAACTGTCCGATATATTTTGAAAGATTCAATGAAGTATTTATGACAGTTGTGCTCATTGGCGAACGTTCGAAAATAAAAAAAAATATGCCTGCATGATTTTGGAAAAGACCATAATAAAGTTTCAAAGAGATTTGAAGCGCATTGAGGTTTGCCAGAACTTGATGACGCGTCAGGAGACCACATAGATCTAGGCCAACTTCGGGGCGGGCTGTATGAGTTGCCTTTTTCTCGTGGTATTCAGTGACTTTATATATCACATCACACTGGTCAGAGAATAGGATCAAACCCAGTCTGAATGCAGCTTCCGATTATTACGTTTGCTTTGAAGACTTACATATTCTACTATTATTAAAAGACTGAGGCGGTGACAGAAGGCGCACTAAACACACACATGGTCACGAGTTCGAATCCAGGATCGATGTCCGCCTGAGACAACCGTGCCATCCATCCCGAGTTCTGTCAATTTGTACGAGATGCGTCCGGAAGAATGAAATCTCCGACCTGTACATCTCATGGCCACTACAGTCACTGTATTTGCCACATACCCAATCAATACGCCACACCGATTCTCAGTGGAAGTCAAATGCGGTGGCGCATCCCTCGGACGGGTCGATTAATACTCAGAAACTCATCTTTCTATACTTTCACTCGCTTTTGAAAGAGATTGTAGATCACAGCTGCGGTGATTGGATCCCTTCGGAGTCTGGTTACATTTTAGATTTTGAGGGGATGTTATAGATATGGCGCACTCCTTCAAGACTCGCTCTTTCCTTCTTTGCACCAGCAGCATTCCCTAAATTCGCCCCTACATCTGAGAACAGGGCAGGGATGCTGCCAAGGTAGGCTTGGGCTTACTGCCACCCCTTCACCGAACACGGATTGCATAAATTTTCTGAGAATAACAACTGATGCTCGTAAACAAGTATTGTGCTCTGTTCCATGCCCGACCTTATTTATTCTACAAATAGACAGAATGGACAACAATGAGGTCATATAGTTTTTGCAAATAAATCAGGCTATAATCGCCAGATGACCCGAATCCATCTACGGCAAAACCTTCATCCAAATCAGGTTTTACGGCATAGTCAATAGAAGGACATCAAGAGGATAAAAAGGGGATCATACCACGATTAGCAGTGGCACCAAGCCGATTCCGTTCACCTGAAGTCATTTCCGTAGTCACTCTAGGGTTTCCCGGCAATTCAAGGCGCAACTGATGTTACGATAATGAAGTGTGAAGTGTTTCTCAGAAAACACCTAAACAAGTTTGATTGACCAAACTGGTTCCTGCGATGAGGTACTGTCTCCTCCTGATGGTTGGGCTAGTTATTCGAGCATTGATTGGATTACTGTAGCAGTCTCAGTGTATATAGACAAGCTAGAGGGTAAGGGGAGGGGTCAGGAGGCCTAGGGCTTGTCCTTGATTGGCTGTTTTCAAATTTTTTCAATAGAAGGGATATTTTTAAAAGAAAAAGATCATTATCAATAGACCAGCGCGATCTACTGCATCGAACAGATCACTGAATCTTTTCGCCATTCATACTCCACACCAAGTCAGGGATTGCTGGTCGATTTTTTCCTATTCTTCCCTCCTGGTCATTTCTAACCTATAATCTTTGCTTTGTAGATACATCGCCTTTCCTTTAGTTTTTTTTCGAAAAATTCTTTAATCTGTGATTTTGAGTGCTCTGATTCCTAACTGAAAAACTATTCAGTTTGTTTTCCTTTATGAACTCGGTAGCTGCAACACAATCAATCAATGGCTGATCGAGATCAGTGAAATCAGATACCGCTGTCGCTTTTGTTCGGTCAATTTGACCCTTTCTTTTACATTTCCTTTTTTTTCTGTCCTATTGAAGCTTATATCGATCATTCTGGCCTTGTTGGATCTAATAATCGGCCATCTACTTTATATTGCTATATGTAATCGGCTAAGTCTGTCTCTGCTTGTGCTCGTCCACCAGTCTGTCTGTAGCGGAATTTATATCGCTTTATTCTTATTAATAGAACGATTAAAGTTTGAGAAAATTGAGATGATGTAACGGAAACTATGCTTGAATGTTATCGATCGTCCGATCAGTCGATAATAATCATGGATTTTATGTGAAAGGACTTCGTATCCCTAGCGTAGCTCCCCTTGTTACAATACCCACCCTAACTGTTCGAAAAAACACGAAAAGAAACGCGTTTTCGCGTTTTTCTTCGTTTTTTCTCTGTAACAAGGTTAGTTTAAAATTTCTTAATATAGTGCGCTGTATGGTTGAACTCAAAACCTCGAGCTCTATAACATGGTTTATCTAAAGTTTTGATAAGTTCAATTTTGAAGTCCCCAAACAAAACGCGTTTTTTTCGTGTTTTTTGAACATTTAGGGTGGGTATTGTATTATTGTTAGAGCGTACGAACATTTATATTATACACGATGGGAATTTCGTTGTCATCTTTATGGGAACCGATCAATACTGATTCGTACTGTAATCGATGTTGGATCAGGTACAATGAATTACTCGGTTAGGAGGAGGTTTGTGGCCAGAGTATTCCAATTTTGCCGTAGAAGTGAAGAGAGACCGAGGTAGGCCTAAGGACAGTTAGATAGGTACGGGCATGAAGAATTAGATAGTGTCTCTCTCTTTTGATAATGCGCCATGCTTTCAACTTTCATTCCAAGTAATAAAGGCTTTTGCATAAACTCTCAGTTATTGAAGTTGAATTGTGGAAACATCATAGTTAATTGACTCATATAAACTCCGAACTTCATCTTTTATTTCATAATTGATCATTGATCACTTGGTTCATTCTGCAGCTTTAAAGGTATTTAACTTTTTTTGGGAAGTCAAATAGTCACCTTTGAAACCTGGTTATTCTACGGTAGCAAGTCAATCCACTAAAAAAACTCAGTGCCATAGCAGCATCTCCCTTAAAGATGGTAGTCTGAAGGCTTTCAGTCAACCGACACGTGAAAGATACCGTTTTTGTAGCATCTCCATCCATCCGTTCTCTAAGCCCTCGATCGTGACAGTCGCTATCTAATTTACTGGTTTGACTTGTTTTGTGTGGTGAATCTCAACGCTGATATCATCCATCATTGTTATCACTTCGGGTGTTTTATCTTAAATTAATTAAATCGATTCGAAATTAGATCAAATCATGGTAGAACTACACTAATTTCATACTTTCATTGATTGATTAGCTCAATTATATTAGCTTCATTTTTGCCTTCCGTCTATATAATTTAGTAGTCGATCATATTAATAACAAACCATCATTATTTACTACTTGAAATTACCCTTAATTATCATTTGAGCTCTATCAATTTCACTGAATTCTTTACATACCTTATTATGTTAACAATAATTATTCCGCAAAATGAATCTTCAAGTAGTAGCTTGGTAAATTTTTCCTCACTTGGGATACCTAGAATAAATTCTAAACAAAATTTGCTCTTTTTTCGCTCGTGGTCGTCTTTTTGATTTGGTTTCAACCAAAATATTCTGTTCTCACTTTCAAATAAATTTATCCTATCTCATACTTTAATTTTGCTTACTTTTTTGGATAAATTCAATTTATCCCGTANATGCACGGAGCCAAAAGATTAAGCTTGGAGAACGAAAATCTCAAATGCATTTCCTTTACAGCGGGCTTCCAATCCATATTTGCAATAGAAACCTGCCAAAAGGATTATCTAGTAATCAAACGGACATCGCTAATATTTACAAATGAGTATTTCGGTTCTTTTGTGTACAGTTGCTCGTGATTCCCCAATTTCTACTCATCAATAGATGAGCTATCAAGCTGATAATTCTGGAAGCCTCAGCGACAATTTCATGTGACAATTTCATCCTTCGAAAAGTTGCCTTTGTTGAAATCGATGAGGCAGCGGAAACCGTTTTTCTTCCTCAAATGACAATGCTAAATGTGATGAGGGACAGCCACGCGAATCTTGCTTAGCTGCTACCACTTGAAATCATCCTGCGTGCCAAGCCGGCTTGAAACTGTTGCTCATCACTCGTGGACTGGTCGGGGGGCCTTTTGCGGGCCCATTGTGACG